TAGGTCATGACTGTGCTATCTCGAGCTCAATGGGTGCAAAACGGGGCTTCAAGTAGGCGGTTTTAAAAAGAAAACCGCAGCTAAGGTGGTGCCAAAAGCAAATGTATACAATCTGTGCTGGTGACTTTATTTACATCTCGAAGTAGTCGCATTTGAATAGATTAATCATTGAGTTCACTATTGATCTATTATAGAACGCAAGTCTAGTCTTGGTGAGGGCCACAGCTCACCAAAAGACAACATCCTGACTATGTCCACTATGCCGCGGTGACGTATACTGCAAAATCTGACTGCATTGATGGAATCATGAGACGGCAAATTGGGCTCCTTGTTAAACGATTCCAGCTGTCGCGGGTGTGCGCCGTTACCGCTATCATTTACTGGATGATAAGCAGTGCGTTCCGAAGTGGGGGGAGTTAGTGGTGTCAGGGTTGCAACGACCCAACAATTTCACTTACGGTTCTCGTAGGGGTAGGTTAATAACGTGACCTCCATCGAGCCATTATCCGTTGAAACACTACATAGGTACTATTATTTTCTCGTTTAGTAATGATATGATCTCTAAGAACACTACTATTTTAATATTACTGAGATCCTGTATCAAGATAATTATTCTCACCAATCTCAGTACTTATGACTGATTTATGGAAATTCTTCTCCTTGAGCTATAGATACCGTGTTACACTTAAAATCGAATCAAACCCAAGCGTTTTGAGTGGCTTTTTCTTGTACACTGACGTTTTGGTGGGGAAAAAAACTTTGATATGTACTACAGAGTGATCCGTTCTTTATCGCAGAAAAAAAAAAAAACTTCAAATTGAGCTGGAATTGGTGCCAAACGTCGACTGGTGCAAAAAATTCCGTCAACCACAGGCAAATGTATCTCTGAATAGTGGTCGATTGACTGTGCTTTTGGGGTGCACCGATCTCGTCGGAATTGCAGATGTTGATGCCTTGGGAAGGCAAACCCATCCAACCAGTGGTCAATATTTTTCTATTCGTCAGTGGTTCGTTGGGCATATTTTCGCGTCACATAGTTCAGTTCCGAACTTACCAC